GTTTCAAGTCATGAGACCTCTGCTTAAGAATCGCTTTCTTCTCATCCATATTCACATTGAAGTCAACGTTTGAATCAAATAATGAGTAAATTTGTTCCAAATCTTCAGCATTCGGTGCACTCGAGTATCTTGAGATCCGTCGGTTGTGCGGTCGAGTGATCTATAGATCAGACAAACCTATTAGAGCTCAAGAACTACAACCATAAGAATCTGTTTAATTACCAGATTTTGATAGCATTCAGTCAAGTCATGCATCGCCTCATCACTTAAGACATCAATAGATTTGGTTTCGATAAGAGTTTGCAAATTAATGCAAATGAAGTCCAGCGAACATCGCTTCAGTTGATCCGCGTTATAGATATACGACAGCTCTAACAGTTCGCACGCATTCTTCAGAGTCACTGAAATTGCAATTAAATGTCAATCAATTGGTTCTGTAATAAGAGTTTGAGTTCAGAAGACTTACAAAGATTTACTAAAACGTATTCGCAGTATGTCTTGAGCCGTGGGATTAAGTACTGGTCGGCGATAACCAATACGTGTAAAATAAACTCCGGGTCTTCGATGGACTCGAGTATAGAAGACTCATCTTTATAGATGTAATCCATAAGGATGTCCAATATCTTTGACGGAATCGGTAGCTTTAAGGGACTGTTAGCCGATGCCTCGATCCAACCGGAGCTCAACATTCCTCTGAAGTAATCAATTCGTGACATAAGAATACATTTATGACACTTGAACTCAACGCCGTCTTCCGATTTGATGACAATGTCATACAATTCGTGTTTATGTCTATTGAAAGTGATTTTTGGTGGAAACGATCTGTCGTTCACTTTCACCTTATTATCAACTATTCGGACGCCATTATGGTTCAGCCAATTGTGAAACCAAGTGATCCCGAGTTTCTTTGCCGCGTCTTTCATGCCATTCAACGAGTCATTACTCGTGTTGTTCTTCGACTTCGAGTTGTCTTTCTTTTTATTGTTTGTGTTTTTGGTGTTATTATTATTCTTCAAATTATTCTCTTTTGTCTCTTTAGTGTCTTTAGTGGCAGTCTTCCAGTGGATCCGCTTTCCGTCTTCGAAGAGATCATTAGAATTAAAATAAATATATTGAATGATTTGGTCGAAGGAGTCGACGGACACGAAGTTCGTGTCGATTGTCAATGAATTGCAATCGCAATCCGCGGAGAACTTCTTCCGGAAGTATTCCGAACGGTCCGCGAGAATAAACTTATGGCAGAAGTACTTCTTGTGTCCGATATTAATCACCACATCGTGAGTGTTGTCGTTGGCATCGCTCGACTGGAACAGAGTCTTCATGTCTGCAGTCATGTGTGAGTCTGGTTTGGAAGCCGTCTCTAAGAGACCTATTTTTGGCGACGACTGAAGACACGCGAAGTTTCTGTTCTTGTCGTCCGAGAAGAGAGCGACCGCTCTGTGAATGAAGTGCTGTTTCTTGAGACGAATGGCGTGACACTCGTCGCGGTT